ACGGGCATTGGTAATGTGCAGGCGCTGGACATAATCCCGTGCAACAGTGAACCGTGCCTTATACGGCGTTATGGATCAACCACGTTCGGCATAACGTTTACGACGGGTGAGCAATCGAATAAACTTATTTCGGTATCTATCAACCATTTTCCATCTGCTTTTCCACGGCTAAGCATTTTCACGACCGCAACTAGAAATGATTGTTCACTCTGAGTAACGAATTGTTCTTGCTAAGTGCTCCCCACAATGCCACCCCGATGTACACACAAAATTTACTGGAATTTTGTATTGGGGTGGAAACATTGGTTGGTTCACTGACCCTACTGCATGTGTAATTGGTTTGAAAAATGGAGCATCAACCAGCGGAAGAGACCTGAGGCTTCAACTGTCTAGCAAACCGGAAAAAGGATCCTTCCCAAAAATCCAATGTTCTACAGTATTCTCCCAGTAATAAAATGTCCAAGCAAAGCATTTCACTTTCTGTTATCCTGTTTCGAGAACTTGATAAGCACTAGGATGTACTTTTCTCTAAAACCCCGAACAGCTCATCAACGCGTTATCGGTCAATAAGCTCGATGCCGGTTCTAGCGGCTGTACAACAGCAATGTCTGCGACCTGGGAATGTCCGACAGTTTAGGTAGCTAAGATTTCACTAACAATCCCCAAGTATCCCTAAACCAGCTTTTCTGCGTTAGAATGCTTCGTTTTAATTTTTGATCCGCTTTTAATATCAAAATTGCAGCCCTCTTCCATATCCTTGGGTTGTGCAAACGGTGATCTGGTGTGCACACACAAATCGCCATGTGAGTGTTGTACACCCAACACACGGTTCCAGGAAGGTAAGTCAATACTTCCTACGCAGAGGGCAGCTGGTCCACTGAAAATGAACGGCCTGTTTAACTGTAAGAATGGAACAACACTAAAGGGAGACAGCTCAACGGAAAATGTGCAAAACCTGGCATGCGATTCCACTGCTATTTGTTATTATGTTTCTACAATTGTTGTCCACACTTCTCCTGATGCACATTCTAACATGTGTTCACAGGGCCCCTTGACTACCCGGTGGAAACTCCTGGATACCGACCGCAAATCGTTTGTGTGCGTCCAGTTTCAAGCGAAATTCATATAGGATACCCAGTAAACGTCGAACTCGAGGAATCTTATCTTCCGTCTGTACACTGAATCCGTAACTCCGTCCGTCTATTGCACACTTGCTCACTTTTGATTTGTTGTGTGTGGGGTGGGGCGGCTGGAACTAATTCGGCTGGAACTAATCACAAAACGTGACTATTTGTTGATTTGTTTGGGGCTGTATGGACAGCGTGTCTGTGGGGAGAACGGATGTGAAATGATGACGGGGTAGAATTATTTTGCCTGGGAGCTTCAGGCGAGAAACGGACAATTCCGACGGTTGCCATTTTAGATGGGAAATCGACAGAAATTCATTCACCAAAAAATAAGAGTGAAAATGGGAGATCCATTGTAAAGAGCGGATTACAACCAATTTCACGGAGCTTGTGGTTCCATTTGTATATTTCTATTCGACAATTGCTTTGGTTTGGAAATTTTCCAGCTTCTTTCAATTTCTTGGATTTTCTGATACAATGTGTGCACGCGAGAACTCCAGGCAAGTGGGCTTCTGGTTAGACTGATGATTCCCATAGATATGTCTCGGGTTTATTCCCAATGTACAGGCTTATGGTGATGTGGCTTATGGAGGCCTGAATGATCAGTGAAATATCCCCAAAGTCTCGTTTGAACGAGCGGCATCAGAAGATGTTGTCCTGCTGTTGTCTCGATATAATGGTGCACTGATTAAACGACGAAAATGCTAGAAACTTTGAGATGTCGCGTTTTCTAATACGCATTGAGACTTATAAACGAGATGCGATTGGGACAACTTACGTTCTGTAAGGATAGTGTTGTAGACGTACAAATGGGTCTGCTTATATGATTTTACTCCATCAACCACACTCTGCTCCTCACTGCTATCATTCCCTCAATAAGAATGCAGTTCATTTGTCCTATGGGTCCTGAGATCTCAGTTGAGCTCAGTTCCGTCGGTTGCTCCAATCCACAAACTGTCTATCTGAATGCAGTAATTCCAGCTGCCACACGTTCATTGATTGTGGCTGAGAAGGATATGCTGTTGAGAGCTTCGCAGGTGAAGGCCTAATCAACTCACCGACGTTGTGTGTCCACGTTTGTCCAGTTCAGCAGATTTAAGTGGTTGCGAATTGAAGGGTCTGATTCTAATCCACCCTTGGCTGCGTGACACAAACATATGCGTCAGAGACATCAAACTTTGTCTCGTGTCTTGTCTGGCCGTCCCGATCAGGAAACGGGGTGTTCACCGACGTGGTTGCCTGGACTAGTATTGTCTTTGGAATTATCATAACATTGTGGACTGAGTGCCTTTGGGTCGTCTCGCAAGCCCATACGAGACGAATGACCTCAGGCATAGGAAACACACGAACTAACCAGCGAAACCTGTATGTTGTGACTAGCCTATCCACCGATGGAGAATCAACGTTTTCGGACCCTGTGTGCTGTGATTTAG